TGATGGACCTCCTGACATCTGTCTTTCAGATCCATCAGCTGACATGGGACAACTGCCAACAGCTCCTGACCCTCTTCAGTAGGGAGGAACACCGCCACATCCTAAATGGAGCCCAACCCTGGCTAGTAACACAAGCACTACCCACTCCACTGACCCTGATCACTGGGCAACTGAGGCCCTTCCCTGGAGGTGTCCCACCTGGAACCACAACACAGCAAAAGCTTTTGAGGCTCTAACGCTATATCATACCACTCTCCTAGCAGGCCTCAGGGAAGGAGGGAAAAAAGCCTATAAATATGTCAAAGGTTCCACTGTCATCCAAGAGCCAGATGAGAGTCCAGCCAAATTCTATGAGAGACTATATGAAGCCTATTGGGCCTATACTCCCTTTGACACTGAGGCTCCCGAGAATCAACAGTTGGTCAGTGCTGGTTTTGTTGCTCAATCTGCTGCTGACATCAGAAGAAAGAATCAAAAGGTTGATGGGTTTGCAGGGATGAGTGCCACCCAATTACTGCAGATAGCCTGGAAGGTTTTCATCAATAGAGAAAAAGGAGAAAAGAGAGAACAACAATGAGAGGCTGGTTGTTGAGCTTGCAGAAGGACACTTTGCAGCAGTCCTATGAAAGCCTCCTCCTGAGATGCCCAATTTGTATTGGTCCTGCCAATAAAACCAGACAGCTCACAACCCAAGACTGAAGGGAGGCCATTCCCCTTGGCCTATAACCAGTGTGCTTGATGCAGATAGTTTGGACACTGGAAAGATCAGTGTCCCCTCCATCTACAAGACGCAAAGAAGCCTGGATGCACAGGCCCACCCTAGCCTGAACCTCTCCTCGCCTTGTTAGGCCTAAACAGTGACTAGGATAGACTGGGCTCTATCATAGTGGGCCCCCGAGAGCCCATGGCCACTGCTAAAATTGGGGGCAAACCTGTGACTTTCATGGCAGAGAGCAAAACCGAACATTCTGTTGTGACCCAACTTGTTGCTCCTCTGGGCCCCCCATGAATCCAAGTCATAGGGGCCACCGGGCCACCTTCTGAGAAACAGTTCTGTCAAAACTGGTCCTGGCTCTTTGAGGAATTATCCTGACCACGCCCATTGGTGTAAATAAAATTTACTTTCTATCTTTAAGCCCTGGGTGCCTTTTGGTGCTTCCCATTTGCCATTACAGCAGCTCATGGCTTCTCTAATGGCCAGCTCTGCCTCCTCTTGCAGTTTTCCTCAGGTGATCCTCATTCCTGGTTTCTCCAAACTTCTGGGGTCTCCACTGCACCTCTGGCTTCACACTCACAGCTTCACACACTGCCCTCTCAGGGGCACCCTGCCTGGCCTCCCGGGCCTTCTTCTGAAATCTGGGTGGAAGCCTCCCTGACCCCACAACTCTCACATTCTGTATGCACCTAAAACCAGTGCCATTTGGATGCTCCCAAGGTCTGGCACCAGCTGGAGCATTAGCCAGGCTTCCTTCTCTCTTGGCTATAGGAATCCAGTGCCTATGAACCAAATCCCAAGGAGCATCTTCCCTAGGCTGCTGCCATTCTGGAACATGGTGCTCTGGGCCTCTCTTCTCAAAGCAGTCTTTCACTTTTGCAATGCTGAGGCTGCAGAGGCTGGAGTCATGTTGGATCTTGTGATGTACTCAGTCCATCTTTTTTGTTGTCTTATTTTGAAATAGCTGGCTTTTTTCATTTTTGCTAGTCTTTTCAGCTTCCAATTTCTCCTCTGTACCTCTTTGAAGGCTGCAACCTTATTGGAGCTTCCTTTCTGGCCAAACTCAAAACACTTTAAATCATTCCGCTGGGCTCTTTACTCTTAATTCTCAACATAAATCTGGCTAAAAGTCCCTAACAGTACCAATGCCACTGTCTCAACATTAGACTGCCTTGAAATTTCTTCTGCCAGATTAGTCTGCCACCCTTAATCTCAGTCTCCAGCAAAGTCTGTGGACACAAACAAAAATTCAGACCAACTTTCTGCTGAGGCTTAATACGCATCAGCTGTAGTCCAACAGACAATGCCGTCCTTCTTCCCAGCAGAAACCTCCAAAGCCTGGTCTTTACCAGCAGAATTTCTATCAGCATTCTGGTCTTTTGAGATCTGATCAAAAGCTCCCACAGATATATAGCCTGAGGTAGCTCGGCTTTACATTTTCAGCCATCATCTCCAAACCTTTCCAGATTCTTTCTACAAGCCAGTCCCAAAGGTTCCTGAACCATGTGGTCAGCTACAGTCACAGTCATAACCCCACTTCTCTAGTACCAAAATCTGTTTTTAGTTACTGTTCTCATTGCTGGGACAAAATATCTGGTATCAATAATGTATCACTTTTATAATAAAAATTTAAACTTTTTTAATTGAGAAAAAGTGACAAATGTAGGAACCTAACATGAAACAAGGATTGTATATCTCTCGAGCACACTGAATACCACAAGTACTCAAGACAGGGTAAGCAAAATGAACTCTAGTTTTCAAATTTTACAAAGATGGCTTTTGGATCTGCCAAAAACGTACTAAATTAAACCACCTCAAATAGGGTGGAGTCTTTGGCTCTACACCATGGCTTTGTTGAGCAGGGTCTCACACATATTTTAAAAATTAATTTCCACCTCACCATTATGATCTATTTGATTATACACACCACCCAGAACTATATAATCACAAGACTTTCAAAACTATATGATGCTGCTTTGGTATTTACTTTTCAGGATATGATGAAAGATGGAATGAACTCAATCCATTATTTTTTCTTGTCAGATTTGACCCTTAATAGTCATTGAGAAATTATAACCATGTAGTGACACAACTCACAGCAGCTAAATCTTAGAAGTGATCTTAGAAGTGTATGTCCCTCAGCAGATGAATGGATAAAGAAAATGTGGTATTTATACACAGTGGAATACTACTCTACCATAAAGAAGAAGAAATAAGTTCTTTGTAAGAAAATGGATGCAACTGGAGAACATGTTAAATGAAATAAATCAGACACAGAAGCTTAAATGAATCCCCCTTTCTTATGTCCTCAGTCCTTTTTATTTTTTATTGAGAGAGGATCTCCCAAAGTTACTAAATTACCCAGGTTGGGCTGAATCTTCTGATCCTCCTGCTTCAGCTTCCCAGAGTGCTGGGATTACAAATGTGTGCTCCCATGCCCAGATCATTCTTTTTTCTATATTAACTATAGTCTTTTTGTGAGATAAACTCCCTTTTATCTCCAGCTTGCTTACACAGTTGTACAGGTTGTTAAGAAAAGAGATTAAATCCATGATTCTTTCTTAATAATTTTTAAAAATGATGAGTTGATTTCCTGGAATCCTCTAATTTGTTACAATATCATTGTGAACCCATAGAGTTAAGCCTGTTTGATAAACCTAAGCTACTCCATTGTTATTTGTATTAATATAGAGGTTTTCTCATCTTGGCTAGTGGGAAATTTTGTCTTAAATTAACAAGAACTGTACATATTTAGGGCACACAACAGGCAGTTTTGATATATGTATTCATTACGGCTTGGCTGCATCGAGCTAGCTAACATATGCATTACCTCAAGTACTTTCTTTTGTGATGAGACACTCAATGTTTACTCTCACCAATTTTCTCTAATATATAAAATGCAGTCACCATGATATACAGTGGAGCTTGTGAGCTTTCTTCCTTCTTTTTTTGTCCAACTGAAGTTTTGGATCCAGTGACCAACACCTCATCTCCCCAACCCTTCACCCCAGCCTCTGGCAAATCCCACACTCCTCTCTGCAGACACTTTTCCACATCCCATGCGGCTGTGGTCTGTGGGATGATATCCCCTCTAGAACTCATGTGGAAACTGCACTGGAGATGCAGCTTTGGTAAGTGGTGTAGCCTTTGAGGGCGGAGGAAGTCAGGCAGGGGTGCACCCTGGTAAGGGCTCCAGGTTGAAGGGAGTGTCCTATCCTGGCCCTCAAAGGATCAGCATCATGACACCACCTCAGAACAGGAAACTGGTCCTTGCCACAGCCCAGACCCGATAGCACCTTGATCTTGGATTTCCTGGCCTCCAGACAACTGTGAGAAATAAATTTCTGTTGTTCATAAGTCAACGAGCCTAATATTTTGTTAAAACATCCACAAGATGGACCAGGACACACATACTAAGTCAGGTCAGGCAATACTCATCTTTCTGTGCCTGACTTATTTCACTTAATAATGTCTTCCAGCTTCATCTTTGTTGTAACAAGAGATAGGATTTTCTTCATTTCTAAAGCTGAATTGCGTGGGTGGGTACATTTCTTTACCCATTCATTCACTGGTGGGCCCATAAGTTTATCCCACATCTCAACTACTGTGAATAATGATACAGTTAACATGAGAATGCAGATATTCTCTTTTAATATTTTTTAAATATTCCTTTGACATACTGATTTCAATTCATTTGGAACTATTCCCAGTAGTGGTATTGTAGGATCACATACTGTTCTATTTTTAATTTTTAAAGAAACTATATTGTTTATACACTAAGTGTGCTAATATACATTCTCATCAGCAGTATGCCCTTATACCCACAAGCTTACAAGCCACTGTTATAGCACTTTTTTTAAAGACAAGAAAACCTTTTATTTTAAACCACAAAGATCAGGTGGCCACAACCATTCATTTCTCATTAAAATCACATAAAGCTTAGGTACAAAACCACCACTGACTGTTGCTCTAGAAAAATTGCATGAAAAATTAAAATACACTCAGTAAAAACACTACAGTATGTACATGTTTGAATTCTTAAAGCAGGTACATGTACTGCCCAATCAGTTTTACACGCAGCTTTGAATATTAAGATAGTATTTTATTTTACTTGAAAACTTCCAAAAAGCATGATTATGAGAGGATAAAATATCCACCCTTATATATTTTGGATGCCTACTAATAGAGTCCTAAAAAAATTAGCATTTACAAAATACTTGGTAAAATAGCTTTTAAAAGGTGTCCCAAGAGGTACATAAGATCACCCCCAAATTTTTGTGACAATTCATTCACCCTTGTTATCTACAGATCATTTTCAGTGCCTCTTCAGCTCTAGTTTCAACGTTTTCAGAGCGTGTAGTACCTTCCTTTCCAGCTTCCTCCTTTTCTTCCTTCTGCCCTTTAGCACCTCTGTTAACCTCGGCTCTAGGTTCTTTCTTAGTAGATGTTTTTCTTGGTTTAGGTTCAGGTTTCGATGGAGCAGGTCTTATGGACAATCTGGCAGACGATCTTGAGGGCTCCTGTTTAGTTACTTTGGATCCATCTTTGTCCTCTGAAGACTTTCTCTTCTGCATGATGACCGTCAGGTCAGTGGAAAGTAAAGTGACCGGCTGGGACTGTGGGCTCCTGGATGCTACCTCCACTGTTATAGCACTTTTGATAACAGCCATTTTTACAGATGTGGGGTAATAAGTTGGAAACATTTGAAGATGATCCCAACTGTATTTGACAGTGCCTTGCCTCTTGTATGTTTCCTGTATCAGATTTCGGATCAGCTATTTCTCCTAAAAAATTTGGCTCATCTTGTTGAAAATGATGTCTGGGAACCATAATCTGTGTGCTAGAGGTACAGGCACTCTTAAAACACATCAAATTGTTTCATTTTTGGTTGCTTAAAAACTTCTCTGCAAACTATACAGAGTCCTAAAAATACCTCGTTATTTAAGAATTCATTATTTGGATCTTTTACTTCTTCTATTGCTTTTTTAAAATTTTTATTAGTATATGTTTGCAGTGCATAATGATTATATTTATCAGGGGGAGTCGGTACATGTACACAACACGTCTTGATTCTTTTTACCTCCTCTTTCCCTTTTTCTTTCTTCCCTCCATCTCTTGTTCCCCTCCTGATTTGCAAAATGTATATATCTAACTTGTTTCCTATTACCTGTCTTTTCTTTTGGTCTTTATTTATACTTTGAGTTTCTCATAATGAACTTATATCGGGCTGGGAATTTAGCTCAGTGGTTCTGTTGGCTGCCTTGCAAGCCCAAGTTCCTGAGTTCGATTCCCAGTACAAAAAAACAAACAAACAAAACAAAACTCATGTGATATTTACACTTGTGTGAATAAAAAATATTTACATATTTGTTTGATTTGTTTGACTTAACATTATGGTCTCAGGGTGCATCCATTTTCTACAAATGAGTCAACTTTATTTATTCTTCTTCGTGGCAGATCAGCACTCCATTGTATATAAATGAATTTTCATGTGTTGATGGATATACTGATTCCAAGATCTAGCTATTATGAATTGAACTGCTATAAACATGGGTAAGCATGTATCACTGTAATATACTATCTTTAACTTTTGAGGGAAGACACCTAGAAGAGGAATAGCTGGGTCAAATAAAATTTCTATTTTTTTTTACCAGTGTCCTCTCTAAAGTTGCATTTAACAGCCATAACTTCTTCTTCACCAGTTCCTATCCCAAAGTTCATAGCATGCTAGAGACTCAGAACATATTCACTGAATGATAACAGTCAGGCTTTAGATGCTAGAAGAAATACCCAAAACCAAGTTTCAGAAATATGAGAGGAAATAGCAACACAGAATAACTCAGTAGGTTCTGAGAACATTCTTCAACATTCACGTAGCTGTCTTAAGTTCAAGTAGTTTAAAAGGCAATGCTTTATTTTACAGGTCTCTCTGGTACTCTAAAGGGTACAATTCTGTGAAATTGTCTGTTTTAGACCAACCTGAACTGAGCGTGTTGGTCTATGATGGCTGTGAAACAGAGACAAGGAAGGGTGAGGCAAGACTGAGAGAGCAGCTGACCGTGAGCACAAGTGCTTCCAGAGGAAGAAGATGAGTCCAACAGGAAGCTGTTTGTCAGGGAGGTGATACACGGAATGCAACTGCTCAGTTTGGAGCCTGACTGGGAGGCCTGGATCTGACGTGGGGACAGAGGGCTGAGGGAAGAAGGTAAAGAGGTAGGAGAGGTGGATCCTGTTCTTGTTAGAGCACAGAGGGGAAGGATGGACAGAAGTACAGTGGGCCCTTGACTTACAAACTCAATCGGTTTCCAAGGGCTGGTTGTAACTCTAGTTGGTTATAAGTCAGTACAGCTGAGATCTAGATATTTACCTAGATACACACCATAGATAACAAGAGGCAGATGACCCTTTCATTAGCCTAATTAACCCAAGTTGTTTGTTTGTCAGGTGGGCTGTAACTTGAGGGTCCACTGTACTTGGCCCTGCTTTCTTTGCCTCCCTGTAACTCCCCGGTGAATTTTGTCCTTCTTTGCTCTTTCTCCCACTCTCCTTTTCTCTCTCTTCTATTCCTCATTCTGGCCAGCATGTCCTTTCTCTAGGAGCCCTACGTGGGTTGTAACTTGCAACGGAGGAGTGATATTTTTTGCTCCCTAATGGAAAAAAATCTTGTCTTCCAGCAGAAGACAAGTGATAATGATGTGAAAGTCAAGACAAAGGGACCAGGAGATAGGCAGAGTGGGTAGCTCTTGATGCCAGAAAGCAGAAGCTAACAAACTGATATCTCAGTGCAGACAGCTTGGTCAAGAAAGTTGAAGCTGAGATAAACCATCTGTGAATCTCCATAGAGAACTTACTCTGCCAGGTGACAAGAAAAAGGTGCATTTTTGAAGAGTTGGACAGTGGGTTTACTGTCACATGGGGCTACACACTATAGAGTGGAAGGTTTGAGAAGAGAAGTACTGTTAGGAAGAGGGGGTAAATGCTAAGCAGTTGGGGGAAAAAAATGAAAGATTTTTTTTCACTCAAAGACACAAACTCGCCATTATTATTATTATCACAGTTCCTCACTAATTCCAATTCTGTGGGTTTCTTCTTAAGATTTTTAAGTTAATGCTTTTTCTCAAAGCCATTTTTAAAAATAAAAACAGAAGTGGGCCGGGGATTTAGCTCAGAGGTTCGGTAGCCTGCCTAACAAGCGCAAGGACCCGAGTTCAATCCCCAGTACCAAAAATAAAGAAACAAACAAACAAATAAAAAACAGAAGTGCTCATTTGGTTTCTTTCCCTGCTACGAGTCACTGCCCTTAAGAATTCAGAGGGCCTCACCCCTGGATTATGACCAAGTATAAAATATTTCTTTACTAAGTTTGTCCAATGCTAAAAAAGATGGCTCCCACCCACAAGTCGTTTCATAACTTCTCTCTACCCCAGTAGAAATTAGCCATAAGCTAAGTTGTTTTCCCAACTTTTAATGGAAATTGTCACAACAAAAAAAAATACAGAATTATAGCCAATAGAATTATAGCTGATTTAATTCATCTCCAGACTCCCCCAAAGGCACCCTCTACAGGGGATTGTGTCACCCCCTCTGGATGGTTCTAAATCCAACCCAGGAAGCATGTGATTCTAAATAAAGATAACCACAGTGATCATCACCAAGCCTAACACATTTATTACAAATTTCTTTGTATCATCAAATACCCAGTTGGTTGTTGATTTTCCCCAACTGTCTCACATATTTTCAGATCAAACCAGGATGGAAACAAAGTCCATTCATTCCATCCAAATTTGTAATGAGACTCCTGTAATTGTCCCAACTTTTATAATCTCAATTTTAAGTTTGAACACAGCTTTTTCAGCTTGATTTTCTTTTAGAGTATGATCGGCTAGTAGATGAAGCTCATCTGTGTCCTGAGGCTGCCTTTGGTAGCACATACAATTCAGGGTTCAAGTGTGATACCCCTATCTTGCAGTTTACATCAGGATTTTCTTTTCTTAAACTTTTATTATTTCTTCTCAAGTAGGAGAGACCTTCATAACTGCTTTTGGAAATGCAGAGTTTACTTATGGTAACACTGTAACGTCAGACTGGAATTAACTCAAGTGTTCGTCAGAAAGGGCTTACCTAAACTCACTATAGTATGTTTAATCAAGAAACCACACCATATCTAAGTAATAAAGTTTGTCAACATGCAATAATGTGAAAATATCAAGTGTCAAGACACATGGCAAATAAAAAGTGAAATGGTAGGAAGGAAGTGACTCATTTTTACCATGAACCAATGTATTTCTGTATACATATAAACACTAAATCTTCTTGAAAGGATGTAAAGTCATGGAGTCATTTTACTTTTTATATTGCTTATATACGTCCTACAGTGAGTATATACTAGCTTTATAACATTAAAAATACATACTTGTTAAAATGTACATACACGTTAAAATATTATATAACTTAAATACAATATATAAATGTTCTTTTTTTCTGCAAACTTTCTCCAACATCAGAAGTAATTTGGGGTTGACAATGTCAGATGCATTCTTGCCTATAATTGGAAGAAACTTTGAAGATACAATCCAAATGTCTCCCTCAAATAACAATATTGAGCTCTAACTATATGCCAGGTACAGACCTAAGCTTTAGTATCATTGTCTCACTTAATCTCCAGAATAGTTATTTGACACAAATATCACTGTCTATATTTTACATAAAAAGAAATTGAATGTCAAGTCATTTGTGCAGGTCATAACTAGAGAGCAAACTTTAGTTTCTTTCATGTGAGGGTCAAATCTCATCCTCTATACCATACTGCCCTACCCTACCAAATATAGTAACTGTGAAATGAGGGTAATTTTGCAAAAGTCAAAGTTATAGTCCTCTTGAGCTTCCTTTTTAGGGTCACTTTGTGTGTAGAGCTCCCAAGACCCCCCTGTATCTGACAATTTGATAGGAAGATTTACGGCACTCAGCATTAATTGTCCACATAACTACAATTTATTACAGTGAAAGACACAAAATAAAACCAACAAAGAAAAAAGGCACATGGGGCAATGTATGGGGAAATCAAGCACAAGCTTCCATAGTCCTCACTCAGTGGAGTCACAGAAGGTGTGACTCCCTGCAACAAGTTATGGCAGAACTTACAAAATGTTACCAACCAAGGAAGGCTTATTGGAGTCTTGGCAGGTAGGGGATTCGCTGGGGGCAAGTCACATAGGCACCCCCTTCTGGCACATACTCAAATTCTAGACACCCAAAAGAAAGTCAGGTATTCAGCTTAACCACATTATCTGCACAAATAATTTAACCACAATGAGCCACTCTTTCAAGTTATGCATGGGGATGTTCCCAAAATCAGAGTTTCCAGATGGCTGCCCAAACCAACATTGTAAGTCTGTTAAAGAATAGCCTGTAAGCCTCTTGTGTCAACTCTTTCCCAATTATAAGGCATCAGGTACTCAATAAAAATGCAATTATACCCACAGCCTCCAGTCTGTCTTCATGATGGAAATGGTGATACTGACATTATCCCCGTCCAGGAAATAAAATTTTTCCTCCAGGTCCCTCTGTCACACTT